CACTCTCACACGCACTCCAGGACGGCAGGGCCTGGGACATAGGGCTCAGTATCTGGTGAGTGAAAATGCGAACAATAAGGCCGCTCTCGGGGAGTTGACTTGAGGAATAAATGAAGGAAGATAGATGGATGGGTAGATAATTAGATGGATCTAGCTTTTTGGGGGGTTAATCCTCACTGGAGGATATTTTTTCCCATTGACTTGTAGAGAGAGTGGGATGGAGAGAGGAAAGAGAGAAGAGAGAAAGACAAACATCGAATGATGTGAGAGAGACACATTGATCGGTTGCCTCCTGGACATGCCCTCAGCGTGTCCTGGGATGGAACCTGCAACCCAGGTACATGGCCTTGACCGGGAATCAAACCCATGACCTTTTGGTGCCCAGGACAGTGTTCTAACCAGTGAGCAACACCGGCCAGGCTCTATCTAGCTTTTCAGAAGATGCATGGCACATAGTGAGCCCCCAATGCAGCGAGTGCTTGTGCTGCTGCCGTAGTTAAACCTTATCCAGGCTGAGCCGGCCCAGGGCTCATTGGATTGGATGTACTAGGAACGAAGTTAAAGAATGGAGCTGCAGCCAAAACCGGTCTGTCTCAGTGGATAGAGCATCGGCCTATGGGCTGGAAGGTCCCAGGTTCGATCCCGGTCAAGGGCATGTACCTTGGTTGCAGGCACATCCCCCGTAAGGGGTGTGCAGGAGGCAGCTGATCGATGATTCTCTCTCATCGATGTTTCTAACTCTCCATCCCTCTCTCTTCCTCTCTGTGAAAAATCAATAAAATATATTTAAAAAATAAAACAAAATAAATAAAAGTCAATGAGGGAAAATATCCTCAATGAGTATTAAAAAAAAAAAAAAAAAAAAAGAATGGAGCTGCAGCCATCTCCATGCCTGCTGAGCGTGTTCCCACCCCAACACTGGAACCCGCGTCACGCTGCGCTGAGAATATTCGTGCATTAACGAGATATGACTTGGTACCAGCACCCTCTCAGTCATTCTGGGGGCAGCCCCTCTCCTGCATGCAAATGTCCGAACCGAGACGTTGCCCAGGCTGGGAGCAGGTCCTCCGAGGGGGTGTGGGCTGAAAGCCAGAGGCGATTTCAGAGAAGTGAGAGGGTCAAGGTTGTGTCAAAGCAGCCAGGGCCGCCCCGGGCTCTGCCGTCCCCAGGTCTGCGGAGGCCTCAGCCAGTCCCCGTCACAGCGTCACACATGGGAAATGCCATGCTGCCTCATCTGGGTACTGAAACCGTCAGGGGATTTTATCGTTTCGCCTCCAATTTGTACGTTAACTGCTGGCCCGGAGGGGTGCTTTGGAGAGAGAGCAGCCTTTCAGAAGGCCTCATACTGTCTAAGAAATGCCCTTTCCCTCGCCCTGAAGAGCCCTGAGAAATGGCCCGGTGACAGGTCACCTCTCCTGGCCTCAGACGGGTGGGGACTTGCATTGGGGCTGGTGTCCCTGCATGGGTAAGGGTACAGGTTTACTGGGTTTACGCCCTGAGCGGTGTGCCCCCTTCGCCTCGAAGGGGAAGCCGTGGCGTAGACAAAGGGAACATCTAAAAGGAAGAGCGGAGCCGAAACTGGTTTGGCTCAGTGGTAGAGCATTGGTCTGCAGACTGAGAGGTCGCAGGTTCGATTCCGGTCAGGGGCATGTATAATACGTTGGTTGCAGGCACATTTTCGGTAGGGGGTATGCAAGAGGCAGCTGGCTGGTGTTTCTCTCTCATCGACATTTCTAGCTCTCTGTCTCTCTCTCTTCCTCTCTGTAAAAAAATCAATAAAATATATTTAAAATATATATATATATATATATATTAAAAGGAAGAGCTGGGGATAAGATGGGGGGCTAGGGTGGGAAGTGGGGAGCCAGCGGACACTCCCGACTGGCTTTGGCCGGAGGCAGGCAGGGGAAAGGAAGGGGCTGTTTTGACCGCATCTGAGTGGTCCCGGGCCACTAACTCTCCGGCTCCAGGGAAAGGTCTGAGCCTGTCCTTGTCGCGTCTTGAATCTTCAGCCAGGTTCCCGGCACTCAGGGTTTGGGTGACTCCTGTTTGCTGCCTTTTGGATTGCACTGAAGTTGTATTTTAATCAGTTTAATTAATCCGCTTAACTGTTCATTGAGTTTCCCTATGCCTTCTTTGATTGCTCCTTGGATGGATGGATGGATGGATGGATGGATGGACGGACGGATGGACGGACGGATTTGCTCTGGTTTTTCTTCCTTCCCGCACTTGTCTCTCTTGTCCCCTTTCCGCTCCCTCACTTTTTTTACATTTCTCATTTTTATTTACCTTTAAAAAGTTTATTGGGTTGACATTGGTTAATAGAAGTGTATAGTTTCAGGTGTACAGTTTTGTAATGCATCATCTGTATATTGTAGTGCGTGTTCACCACCCCGAGTCAAGTCTCCTTCCATTGTCATTCATCTCCCCTTTACCCCTTATAACTCCCCCCAACCCATTCCTTCTGACAGTCACCCTACTGTGGTCTGGGTCTGTGGTGGTTTTCTCTTTGCTTAGTCCCTTCACCTTCATCACCCAGCCCCCAATCCCGTTCCCCCTGACAGCTGTCCATCTGCTCTCTGTCCATGAGTCTGTTTCTATTTTGTTTGTTAGTCCATTTTATTCATTAGATCCCCATATGAGTGATGTCATATGGTCCTTCTCTGACCTATTTCACTTCGCATAGCCTTCTCCAGGTCCTTCCATGCCATCCCAAAGGGTAAGATTGCCTTCTTTTCTGTGGCCGAGTCTTCTCCATTGTGTGAACGTACCACAGCTTCTTACTCCACCCCCCTGATGGCACTGGGGCTGTTTCCAGATCTCGGCCCCTCCCACAGATGCAATTGGGTGTTTGTCTAATTGTATGAAGTCTGGCGTCTCCAACAAAACGGAAGCTCCAAGAGGGCAGGGACCATGCTTGTCTGGTTCTCCCACACAGAATAGATGCCCATTGAGTATTTTCTGAATGAATGAATGAATGAATGAATGAATGATGGGATCAGGCTGTGGTGAAAGGGGAGCTGAGCAAGGAATTAGAAAAACTGTGTCCTGGTCCCTCTGCTGCCCTAGACTTGCTGAGACACGGGCAGTGGGTACGCCTCGGGCCTATTTGCCCATCTGTAAAATGGACGTAGCGTCCCCAGTGCCCCTGGGCATGCTGAGGGCTCCGGGGGGAACCAGGAGGACGTGAGCACACACCTGGAAGAGAGGAGGCCTCACTCACCTGCTGTCTCACTTTCCTTGGTGCTCTGTCCTGTCGCCTGTGAAATGGAGGCCATTGGAATACCCTTTAGGGTTCCTTCCAGCTCAGAATTACGGCGATTCTTTCTGCTCAGAAGTCTCCCTTCCCTCCCTCCTCGCTTCTCTCCACGCCGATCCCGGCTTGTTTCTTCTTCCGATTTCACAGTTCGGAGGACATCGCTCCTCCCCAGGGAGGACAGAAGCCGCTCAGCCATGCCTCTTCTCTCCCACCTCCACCCTCATTCATTCATTCATTCATTCATTCATTCAAAGGCATTTCAAGCCCCACTATGGTGGGTGGGCAGAGTCTGCTTGGAATCCTGCCTCTCTCATCTGCCTTCCCAGTACTGTTGAGTCCGGAGGATAGCGCAAACTCAGCAAAGCAGCAGGAGGGTGCCAGTGTCTTTTGAGGGCAGTCTCCCTGAATCAAGGGGGATGGTTCTGAAAATCCTGGCAGATAGACAGATGGGGGATATTTGCTTCTCATTTGGAATTACTGGGCACAGTTGCCCACAATTGGTTATTGAACGTCTCGATGTTTCCTGCGCTCCTGCAATCAGTTACCCTGGTTGCTGGTCGGCAAAAACTTCACATTTTAGTTTCTCTTTAATGTCTTTCCCCTTAACAGCTGTTCTTCTCTCTTTAACAAGAAAGTTAAGTCTGGAGCAAGATGCATTTAAACCCATGTGGGGGTATCAGGAATATCCCGGTCTTAGTGGTGGCAATAAATGTTTAATGACTGGATTGAGGAGGGGGAGCAGGAGCCTCTCATTTGAGCCCTTCAATCAGAGAGGTTAACCACCGGCTGTGACAGAGTTTGAATCAGCTCCAGCACACAGGGTCCCTTAATCCTCACCGTGCCTCTGGCCTGCTTCCTGCCACTGAGTTTGCTCTCACTAGCTCCCCTGCCCGACAGCCACCAGTCCGTCCTCTCTGCCCCTCGTCGCCCACATCCTGTCACCAACTCCTGCGATAACCTCTCAGGTCCATCCACTCGTGGGGGTGTCCCTGGCCTGGTCTGTCCGCCCGCCACTCCTTGCACGGCCTCTGCCTCCATGCTTGCGCCCCTCATCCTTGTCCTGTGTCCCTGCAGCACGGCCTCCTGGGGAAGGCCCCGCCTTGGTGTCTGTCCTTCCTCCCGTGTCCTCTCCTCACAGTGAGACCCCTCCAGGGCCTGGAGTGACGCCGTCCTGTTTGCTGCCATATTCCCAGCTTTGCCCACGTGCCTGGCATGCGGGTGGTGTCCACCAATGTTAACTTCACTTCTTGGGGTTTGTGGGCCCCAATTAAAGAGTGGATTCTAGCCCTCTCCGGTTTGGCTCGATAGATAGAGCATCAGCCCACGGACCAAAGGGTCCCTGGTTCAGTTCCGGTCAAGGGCACGTGCAGGCTCAATCCTCAGCCGTGTCGGAGCGTGTGCGGAGGCAACCAATCCGTGTACGTATGTGTCTCTCACATCAATGTTTCCCGCACTCCCTCTCCCCTTCCCTTCCACTCTCTCTAAAAATCAATACAAAAATATCCTCAGGTGAGGATTAAAAAAAAAAAAAAAAAAAAAAAAGTGGTTTCTACCTGGTCAAGCATCTGTTTTTTTCTACTTTCTGCTGGCGGTTTATCAGCTTAGCACACACAATAGCTGGTGAATAACTTTTACCATGAAATTCAACTCTTTTCTCCATAGAACATCTTGGAAGATGGTTTTCTGCTTCCAACAATCGTATTTTTTCCTAACTTTTTTTTTCTTTTTCTCTCTCTCCTAGATCTCAGCAGCTGCCAGAGCTTACCGCGTTTTGGATATGTAGGTGGGAACGTCACTTTGTCACCAGCAAGTACTGTAAGCTTTACAGAAATCACATGGAAAAAGGGAATTAATAAGATCATAGACTGGAGTGGAAACAAGGAGCCTACACATTACCCAGTTCCTAATGACAGGGTTCATTTAGACATTAAGTCAGGTGACCTTGTCCTCTTCAATTTAACATCATCAGATGAAGATGAATATGAAATCGAATCCGTGGATCTTACACATGGCCAGAAATTTAATCTTACAGTCCTCGGTGAGTATTTAATATCTTGGTTTGTTTAAAATGGCAAATTTTGCCTGGCTGGCATGGCTCGGTGATTGAGCGTTGTTGACCAGGACGATCGCGATTTGATCCATGGTCAGGGCACAGGCCTAGGTTGCAAGCTCGATCCCCAGTGTGGGGCATGCAGGAGGCAGCCAATCGATGATTCTCTGTCATCATTGATGTTTCTACCTCTCTCTTTCCTTCTTCTCTGAAATCAATAAAAATGTATTTTTGTGGCTGAATAATATTCTGTTGTGTGTTCAGATACCACAGCTTTTCTCTCTGTCTATTCTGCGATGGACACTTAGGTTGTTTCTGTGTCTTGGCTACAGTGCACAATGCTGCCCTGAACATTACCCCCCCCCCCCCCCCCAATTTTTCTAGATCATTCTAGTGCCTGGTTCATTCTCACTGTTTCTGAGGTTCCTGCCAGGGTCATAGTTCTCGGGAGCTGTGATGTTGAAATGAAGGTTATTTTTAACGTCCCAGTTCCTCAGGCCTTGCTGTCCTCGCTTCCATGGTGTAGCCCAGAACCTGTCGTTGCCAGTCACTCTGGTCCCTTCATCTCCCCGTGACAGATGTCCCACTCCTTCTGTTTCTGGCTCCCGTCCTGGGCTGTGCTGACTGACAGCTGGAGGAGCTACACACAGGGAGGTGCATCTCCATCAGTGACAAACGCAGTATCGGCCGGGGGGCTTCAGGCCCTGCTTGGGGGCCCGGGGCTGCAGCCTGGGGCTGTGAGGAGCCTCTGTCTCCAGCACTGGAGCTCCGTGTGGCTCGGTGAGATCTGTTTTTGGAAGATGACTCAGGCGGCAGGTATTTTCGGTGGATAGGGCGAAGAGGCGCCGGGTAGAAGCCACGTGGTCGCTCAGGTAGACAGTGTGGTGGGAGATGTTGGAAAAGGAGAGGGCCTGGAGAGGAGCCCCAGAAGGCTCAGCCGTATGGAGAACGAGCCCTAAAAATACCAAGGTTGACTCATGGCTTCACCCCGGTTGCAAATAATTCATCCTTGTTTCTTAGAAATGGGGAAGTCATGCTTTTGGGGAGGGTGTGCCTTGGCAGTACTCTTCCTGAGACACCAGACCTAACGGCAGACATTCAGAAAGGGAGTTTTTGGGGTCAAAGGGGGGTTTCCTGGCGCCTCTTTCTTCTGTGTAGAAGGGGCTAGCTGCTTTCCCTTTTCCCGCAGAGCCCCCGACCAATCTCCACTAATGGTGGTTATTAGCTCTTTCTCAGCCCCTTCACAGCCTTCGGTGTAATGTAATGTCCATGTAATAGAAGTGACTGTCCTTCCCTTAACCGTCCAGACTGGGGTATAACTTTATTTTTAAAATATACTTGATTGTTTTTCTTGTTTTGTTTTGTTTTGTTTTTATTGAGAGGAAGGGAGAGGGATAGAGAGTTAGAAACATCGAGAGAGAAACATCCATCAGCTACCTCCTGCACACTCCCTACTGGGGATGTGCCTGCAACCAAGGTACATGCCCCTGACTGGAATTGAGCCTGGAACCTTTCAGTCCCCAGGCCGACGCTCTAGCCACTGAGCCAAACCGGTCAGGGCCGGTGTATAACTTTTTACTGAAGTTAATAGAAATATACAGATGCCAGCTGGTCTGTATGCGAAATCCTCATCTCTGACTGGGTGGTTAGCAGAATTGATTAGTTATAAAGTGACTAATTCCATTATTGTAGGGGGTGAAGGAGGCACATTCCTGGCCTGTTTAACTTGTTTAAGGTACAAGGTGTCACTAATCTGTTAAAAGTCGCTGTGGTAAGTCCCCGGGCAGCGAGAGGCTAGGAAAGGTTCTCCATGGGGGGGGGGGGGGGGGGGGGTCTGAGCGCAGAGGTTCACCCGAGGCCACAGAAAGGTCTGCGTGCCTGTTGGTGAGCAGGTGGGCTCGCCCTCCCAGGCCGGGATGTGACTGTGGTGCAGTAACGAGACCGCCTGGAAGAGCTTCTGTGTCGCCAAGTGGGCTCTGACAGCGCAGAACGTGGTACCAGTTCTGCCACGGATCTCCCCGCACAGCGCTTTCCTATCCCACCTGGCCTGGACCCTACACTCAAGCATGTGACTGTTTTCAGTAAACGCAGTAATGAATATTTATAATAAGTGAGGAAATTAAAAACTAGAAATCCTCATGTCTGCTCAGGTGAGGATCTGCAGCTACCTGAGTTTGCCACCATCCTGCCTGTTATCCTGGGGCTTTCAGAGTCAAGGACGAGGGGTCAGCCCCCCCCCCCCCCCCCCCCGTGGTCTGAATTGGAGCAGGCAGATTGGCCTCTGAGGAGGAGCGAATACTCTCCTGTTGGTGCCCAAGGAAGTGGCCTGCCCATCTCTGAAACACAAGACAGTTCACAGATGATGAGTCTACATATGACTATTGTACTAAACATCACCTTTTCCCCTCCCAGACCCTCTTCCGTCTCCAACACTAGGTTGTTATTGGGTGAATGAAAGCATTTCTGTCCACTGCGAGGTGCCTCAGAGTTACAGGCGACATCGGGACCTGTTACGCTGCACGTGGAATTGCTCTTCCCAACAGTGTGAGAACAGCTCGCAACTCATGGCCCTTGTTGCCAACTCGCCACCTGAGCTACGTTTTACGAAGGATGACGATCTCTCACAGGAAGTACACTGCTTTGTTAAAGATCCAGTATCCAGCAGGACATCATCGAAGGTTTTGTCAACCTGTGTCCCAGCTGGTGAGTACATAGCTACTCATCCTGTGGCAGAGATGCTATATAGTAATGGGGTTCATGGACCAGTGGTGGTTTGTGGGTTTCAAACTACAGGGATAGGGGCTAACATCCATTTCACAAATTCAAAATGTCAAGTGAGCTATAATGTTCATGGACACCCCAGTAGAGCTATAAGCTAACATTTTTAGCACTTCCTCTTTAACACCACTCCAATACATCTATCAGTTAATTAGCACACGACCCAATGGGTTGGGTGCCACAGTAATTATTCCTTTTTATGGGGAGAAACCAAGACTCAGGAAGTGTAAGGTGCCTGCCTTAGGTCAACCGCTAGTAAATTGAAATCAAGCCATCTTGGGTCCAGAAGCCCTGCACTTAACTATTTATAATACTGTTTCTTTCTTTCTTTCTTTTTTTTCTTCTTCTTTCTTGTTTAATGTTTTTATTGCTTTTTAGAGAGAGAGGAAGGGAGAAGAATAGAGAGAGAGAAACCTCGATGAGAGAGAATCATTGATCGGCTGCTTCCTGCACACCCACCACTGGGGGTTGATCCTACAACCCAGGCATGTGCCCTGACCAGGAATTAAACTGGTGACCTCTTGGTTCCTGGGCCAACACTCAATCACTGAGCCACATCCACTGGTTGCTTTGTCATATTCTTCCTTACCATTATGTTCTCACATGTGCTACAAGACTCTGCATTTGATAGATTTGTCTAGTTTTCAACATATGAGATGCATATATGTCTGGGGACCTGTTTTCAACTGGTGTGCCGCAATGATTTTTAAAACATGCAGTACCTGACCGTTTAGTCGGGGGCACTGACCTCATTTCCTTTATTTTTATTTATTTATTTATTTTTAAATATATATTTTTATTGATTTTTTTACAGAGAGGAAGAGAGAGAAGGACGGAGAATTAGAAACATCGATGAGAGAGAACCATTGATCAGCTGCCTCCTGCACACTGGGGATGTGCCCACAACCAAGATACATGCCCTTGACCAGAATCGAACCTGGGACCTTTCAGTTCGCAGGCTGACGCTCTATCCACTGAGCCAAACCAGTTTCGGCCTCATTTCCTTTAGATTGTCAAATAAAAAATGGAATAGTTATGGTTTAAGGGCTTCACACCACCTGAGATGAAAAAGGCTAAAATCGTTGGTCTAACACCCAATCTCATGACAAGCTGTCTCACTAATGGTCTTTTTTATGTTAAGTCTTAAGTGCATTTGTAATTGGCCATTTTTATTATCTAATTTTTACTTTATATCTTCAGTTGACAAACAAAAGGACTAGTGATTTGAAAGTGGTTCATTGAAACGTAAGCGAACAGATGACTTATAGTATTCATTATAATTCAGAATATCATAATTCTATGTCATGAACAGGATTTCCAGGGCAAACAGAGAAGATGCGTTTCTTTGGGCTGAGATAGGGCGATTCTGTGAATGAAACTTTTTTTTAACATAATGAATAGTAAACAACGGATGTAAAAACCTTGAATTTTATTTGCTGAGTGAGCCATTCTCATTACTTCTCCAGTGTGTCATACCTTTTGAAACTTCAAATAATGACATGAAGCCATTAAAGTTATGGTTTCATTTTCAGACAAAGCAGTGTGACTTCTCAGATAAAACAAATATTTGCAGGAAAAGCACAAAATGGTTCCAATTTGCAGCTGATGGATTTGGTCCCTAAAGACAGAGAAAAGACCAAACTCATGGAGGTGTCACTCATAGAGGCACCATTTGCACAAGCCACACAACTGCCAAGAAGATTTAAAAACCCACTGCAGCTCCAGCTGATGTAGCTCAGTGGATAGAGCATTGATCTGCAGACTAGAGGGTCCCAGGTTCGATTCAAGAGCACATTCCTGGGGCTCGATCCCCAGTAGGGGGTATGAAGGAGGCAGCCAATCAATGATTCTCTCTCATCATTGATGTTTCTATCTCTCTCTGTCCCTCTCCCTTCCTCTCTGAGATCAGTAAAAACATTTAAAAAACCCACTGCAAAGTTAGTGACAGTTATTATGCTTGGAGCATATTTATGAATTCCACCTTTGGGTGTTGCATACTACCCAAGGCAGACTGTGTGAAAATACCATCCATGTGCAAGCGATAGCTGTTTCCCCGTGGGAGTGACAGAAAGCCACGCCAATGTGCTTTGGCTCATGTGCTGTGCGCCTCACCAACCAGGAGAAAGAGGCTGACTGGGTACAGCGTGAGTCAGCAAGTAGAAATCTGGTAAAGCTTCCAGTGTTCCAGGAGGCAACATCCTTGAAGGACACAATTCCTAGACAAGATCCTCTGTAGAATTATGTGGAACTAGAGGCCTGATGCACAAAGATTCATGTAAGAATGGGCCTTCCTTTCCCCTGGCTGCCGGCACCACCTTCACTCGGGCGGGAGCTGCCTTTCCACCTTCCCATGCTGCCCAGAGGCCTGGCATGGCCTGTGTATGCAAAGTAAGCCACCATCTTTGTTGGGTTAATTTGCATACTCACTCCTGATTGGCTTGTGGGCGTTGCAAAGGTATGGTCAATTTGCATCTTACTCTTTTATTAGTATAGATGTTTCACGAGGTTTCCAAGCATTCTGTCTTTGCCCAGTTTTCATTTAACATTTGTCATTGGGATTGAAGGCTACACCTCGTAGATACCTTGAAGCAAAAGATTGTTACCACAACATCCCTCTCACCAATGTGAAATACGAGTTGTGCATTTGAAAACAAACCCTTTTTTATTAAATAATTGTGACGTATCTTTTAAAACCCCACCCCCCCCCAATTGATTGTTCGCATGACATTCTAGATTTTGAAAGTTTGAGAGACATTGCTAGACAGTTCTTTGGCCTTTTAAATCTCAGAGTAGTGTTGACATATGAGATACATATATGTCTGGGGACCTGTTTTGATCTCCAGTTAACCAAATGTTTTCTTCTCTGAAAATCTGGGCCGGAGCTTAATGACTTAAATGATTCTTTTCAACAATAAAATCCCAGGGTCTCTCTCCCTCTCCCCCTCCCACCTGCGGATTTGAATACTTTTCTCGAGTTGCATACATCATAACAGATATAAATCCAGGAAGGTACAACATTTAAATATTGGATCTTACTTGTTCAAGTGCTAATTTCTTGTGTTTCTAATGCTTTATCAAGTGAATCACAGTAACTCATCGACTAGCCTGCTACTCACTGCAAACCCTTCCAAAAGCAGTTTCCTCTCCACCACCATTGTAGACTGGCTGGACAGGAATTGTTATTTATTTTTTAAGAGTGAGGAGACTGATTCAACAGGTGGGGTGACTTTGCCAAGGTCACTTAAGTAATGGAGATAGAATTAAAATCTAGGCCTTCAAATTCTATTGCTGTGGTCAAATTCATTGTCACACCAGGAAATGGGCTAGGCACCTGCCGGCGTCCGGTCACAACATATTGGGCAAAGTATCAAAACATAAATAACCTTGTTTTATTTTTAAAGACAACTTACTTATACATATGGTTGATTCATTAACCTTGAACTCACGGCCAGTAGTGCTTATCTAACTCAGGCCTAAAGGAAGCTTACCCAACATATACATTTTCTCTGTAAGACATAAAGCAGCCTTTTTGTGCTTAGGGATGCTAGACAACATGTCAGCACTCTGCTTGGGAGAACATTTTAAACAAAAGACAAACAAACATTAAAAAATGTGAACAACTGGCACTGAAGAGGCCACGTATAGAACACTTACAGATAGTGTGAGAGCTGGAACAGGAAGGCGGCGTGTTGCCTTGCTCAGACTCAGCAGGGACACGTGCATCGGGTGACTCAACATTTTTCATCATCTGCCCCACATGCCCACGAATGATCGTGAAGGTGCTGTGGGGGTTGATTTGAGGAATACAAATAAATTTCAGCAAGAAGGAGGATCAACTGTATCTTTATTTTGACCAGGTCAGCTAATTGCATTTCTTTTTTCTCTCTCTCTTTCTTTCTTTCGTTCGTTCGTTCGTTCGTTCGTTCATTTTGTTTTACAGATAATCCAAGGCATAGATATCTACTCATAGCTATAACATTCGTAGGAATCTTCTTTTTAATAGGTATGTATACTTCTCTTAAAAATATAAGTTTTCAAATGTGAGTTGGTTTTTCAAAGGCTGGAAAATAAATTTGGAGATAAAAACAAAGTTTGAAATTGTAGGCATTTTGAAAGAAGCAGAATCTTCAGTTTTACTTGTTTGGTTGCTGGTGTGCCGGGTCCCTCCAGAGATTCTGCATTCTGCTAACTTGGGGTGAGTCCTCAGGCAGGGGCACAGCCCAGTATTCCTGGGATGTAATCCGCAGCCGCCTCCTGTCCATGGCCCACTTCCACAGAGAGTTATACTTCTGGTCTCCAAGCCAGATTTTGCAGAAGACTCCTTACTCTTGGCTGCTTAGGTCATAATGCCCATGTCTTACAGCCTCAGAGGAGGTCCCAGGTAGGAAGGAACTTTTGTTGACTTGGGTGACATGGAGTCCTATATAATAAAAGCTTATTATGCTAAGTGTCTGGTCATCCGACATTCAACAAATCAAAGCATAATATGCTAATGATATGCTAAGGCTGTTCAGCCGCTCACTATGACATCGTAACAGATATAAATCCATGAAGATGTAACTGACCATCAGGAGGCAGACAGTCGACCAGTCACTATGACGTGCATTGACCACCAGGGACAGATGCTCTGACCAGTAGGTTAGCTTGCTGCTGGGATCTGGCCAATCAGAACCGAGCAAGAAGGCCGGACATGCCTTGGAGCCCTCCCGTGGTCCCTCTCTGGCTGGTCAACCTCCTGCATCCCTCCCTGGCCCCATCATGCATCAGTGGGGTTCCTCAGCCTGGCCTGCGCCCTCTCACAATCCGGGCTGAGGGGAATGCACCCCCCCCCACACACACACACACCAAGTGCACAAACTTCATGCACTGGGCCTCTAGTGGGTAATAAAGATCTGGTATTTCCTGAGACTTCCTTAGTCCCCCAGCAATCTCGGGCCAACGTAGATAGCAACCCGTGTGCCCTGGAGAATGGGTGACCTGACACGCAGCTCTTCCTCAAATCCCAAAGGACATTGACCCGACGTGAACAGATAGCTGTTCTTGAAGGCCTATCCGTTTCCATATCTGCCTTCACCAAAAGGGTGTTCACAAGACTCCTGTGAGACTCCCACAGGGAGTGCTAGTGAGGAAGCTAAAGGTCTTTCAGCTGAGAGGAAATCACTCCAGTATCAGTATTGGTAGCACCACATAACCTAAAAACAATTGTTCTAAAACAATAACCTGGCACCCATCTCGGCTCTCAGGCCATGAGTTGGGAAATGGAGAGGTGCTGGGCGTGGAGCTTTGGGAAGGCGAGTGAGGGGGATGTAAACAGCTCCAGCTCCGCGGTGTAGTGGACAGACACCTGTGCGCGCCCAGGCGGGCCTGGGGCCAGGCTGCTGGACCAGGAGTGTGGCTCGATGCTGAGGCTGGTGCCTTGTGGGAAAGAAACATGCGTACCGGTGGGAACAGTACCTTCACGCCCAAGCTGCACTGCCACGAGCCACATGTGGCTGTTGAGCCCTTGAAACGTGGGAGCCAAGCACTCACTGGGCTGTGAGTATAAAATGCACACTAGGTGTATAAGACAGTATTAAAGAAAGGAATGTGCAATGGGTCAATAATGTTCCCATTGATTAGATGTTGAAATGAAAACATTCTTCTATGTTGGGCTAATAAGTAAGACATACCATGAAAAGTAATTTTACCGATTCCTTTCCATCTAGCCTGTTATGTGGCTACTGACATTTTTTAAATACTTGTGTGGCTCACATTATGCTCCTGTTGGGCAGCGTTAGTCCAAACCAGTGGTTGGCAAACTGCGGCTCGCGAGCCACATGTGGCTCTTTGGCCCCTTGAGTGTGGCTCTTCCACAAAACACCACGGCCTGGGCGAGTCTATTTTGGGAAAGTGGCGTTAGAAGAAGTTTAAGTTTTAAAAATGTGGCTCTCAAGAGAAATGTCAATCGTTGTCCTGTTGATATTTGGCTCTCTGGACTAATGAGTTTGCCGACCACTGGTCCAAACCATCCTGGCCTTGCCTTCATTGTCAGCCCTGTGCCCACCCCGCTGTAGGCATAACCATTTTGTCAGCAGTTTCTGCTTCTCTGTGATGACTAATTGGACCAACTCAGTCCCCAGTGCCATGGAAACAGTGAGGCATGCCGGCTGCCCTGGCTCAGGTTTTGAGGTTTCCACATCCACGTCTCTGAAAGGCAGGCAGTAACTTCAGGTTTCAGCTTCCATTTCCAGTTCTTTAATTGGGATGAAATGTCTTCATTTGTAGGATTTCTGTGCTATGCCAGACGGGCAGAAAAAACCACGTAAGTACCCTGTACCAGGCGTCCTCAAACTTTTTAAAGTGGGGGCCAGATCACGGTCCCTCAGAGAGCTGGAGGGCCGGACTATATGAACTACTAATTCCTACTGTAACACCTCGGCTGCGCTCACTGCCCAAAAAACCTGGCGGGCCGGATCAGACTCCTCTGCGGGCCGCAGTTTGAAGACCCCTGCTAGGCTGTGCATGGGGGACACTGTGTGTCGTGGGCTAGACCAGGTCGGCCTGGCTATCGGGCGCCCCTCACTCGGGGGGCCAGATTCTGTGCATCTCCAGTGCCTGGGACAGTACCCAGTGCCATCAGCAGAGAGGGAGACGAACCAGTTCATTCACACCAGCCGTGTGCCCGGCACGGCCCTGCCACCCTCTATATCTCTTCCCATTGAACCTCTCCCCGAGCTTGCACGGTCAGTACCACGTGCTGGGGCATGGTCCCAGTAAACTGCCATAAGGAGACTCCGGAAGGGCCCGCATGACAGATCCTGCTGGCGGGAGGAGGCTGGGGCCCAGGACAGGAAGTGGCTTTGAGGTGAGGGGCAGAGAGGCCCAGGCTAGAGCGGGCAGGACAGGAAGTGGCAAGCAGACTGGCAGGTTGGGCCACACCAAGACTTGGAGAGTTGCCAAGAGGTTCGGTCTTGTCTCCAGCGGAAGCACTGGGATGTCTGGGCAGAGCTTGGCGTTGGGAAGATCCCTCTGCTAGCGAAGGGCAGGGGGTTAACTCGCAGGTGGCTGGGAATGGGCCACGGGGGAGTGAATGAATGGAATAACCCGGCCCAGCGGAGAGGGCCCAGGTGTGGGGGTCACGCAGATGTGAATCTGGAGGCAGAGACGTGGGGGATGGGACTGGGTGTTTGGCAAAGGGCACGGCCCACGCCGCACCAAGCTGAAGAGGCGGCAGAGGAGTCCGTGTGTGCAGGGCTGTCTTTGGAAGGCGGAGGCTGAATGACTGTCATGGCCCGGGAGCCAGGAGCTGGGAGTCAGAAGCTTCCTGAGCGGAGGCTCTGCATGTGCACACTGCTCTGGGGTCAGGTCTGGGAAGGCAGACCTGACACTGAGGGGGACATCCCGGGAGGAACCTGGCTCGCTCAGGCTGGGTGTGGGAGCGGAGCTTCCCTCTTCTCAGCATGCTTTTGTTTCCGCTCAGCTACTGACTTGATGATGATTTTTAAAGGCAGAGAGCCCATCGTGGCTTGAGGGGGAGTTTCCGAGGCCCCATTGTTATAGAGTCACATGTTCGCCGGAGGGTGGGAATTAGGGGGAGAGCTGAGGAGGGTACCAGCATAGCTGGCAGCAAATGCAGAACCGCCTCGTCTCCCGAGGACAGTGTTAGCGAGAACCAGCTGGGCTCGGCCTGTGGGTGTCAGGTGTCTGCGGGCCAACGCGCAGTCCCTTGGGGCGGTTTCGGGGAGTGCTGGTAAAGGCCTGGACACAGATCCCAACGTCCCCACCTTCACAAGGCAGAGCCCCCCTCCCCGGAGGACAGGTTTGCAGGTCCCTCCGCCTGCGGGAGCGGGAGGTGCGGGCTGGCCCTCCGGAGCGGGCGGAGCAGGCTATGGTGGGGCGCTGGGGCCCGGGGCTGCCCTCGGGAGGAGCTCTGTGCTGGCCCGGACTCGGTGCAGAAGGGCCGCCTCTCGCACCCCTCACATACCCGCAGCCCCACTTCCATGTTCTGTGGGCTCTGGATGGGGGAAAGCACCTGGTTATTTCCCTCAGCAGGAGTCCTAGGAAGGCTGGGTGTGGAGGAGATATTTTGGGAACTCTGTTCTGGTCTGGTCCCAGTCTGATCTGGTTTGGTCTGGTCTGGTCCTGGCTGATCCGCTCTGGTCTGGAATCAGACTGTGGAGAAGACAGCAGCCAGGGAGGGCGTGGGCTCTGAGTGAGGGAACTCGCTCAGGGAGGCGGTGCCCAGGTTTTAGCCACTTTCTCCAAGAGAACCGATTGTATCAGCGCCAGGAGGTGCCCAAGAGGGAAGTTGTGGTGGGAAGAAAGCTGACGCAGCAAGGTCATGTGGCAAAAAGGAAATAAATGCTGAAGGGGTGACAGCTGCCCTGGGGGACATTTCACTGCATGCTGAGACGGGTGGGTTGGGGGCGTCGGGCAGGTTTGGGGGGACAGGTGGGTTTTGGGAGATGGGCCGGTTGTGGGGGACTGGGGCCTTGGGGAGATGGGCGGGTTTGGGGGGACGGGCGGGTTTGGGGAGATGGGCGGGTTTGGGGGGTCGGGCGGGTTTGGGTAGATGGGCGGGTTTGGGGGAACAGGTGGGTTTGGGGAGATGGGCCGGTTTGGGGGACTGGGGGCTTGGGGAGACGGGCGGGTTTGGGGAGATGGGCGGGTTTGGGGGAACAGGTGGGTTTGGGGAGTGGGCAGGTTTGGGGGACGGGAGGCTTGGGGAGACGGGCGGGTTTGGGGGGACGGGCGGGTTTGGGGAGATGGGCGGGTTTGGGGGAACAGGTGGGTTTGGGGAGATGGGCGGGTTTGGGGGACTGGGGGCTTGGGGAGACGGACGGGTTTGGGGAGATGGGCGGGTTTGGGGAGATGGGCGGGTTTGGGGTGTCGGGCGCGTTTGGGTAGATGGGCAGGTTTGGGGGAACAGGTGGGTTTGGGGAGTGGGCAGGTTTGGGGGACGGGGGGCTTGGGGAGACGGGCGGGTTTGGGGAGACGGGCGGGTTTGGGGGGACGGGCGGGTTTGGGGAGATGGGCGGGTTTGGGGGGTCGGGCGGGTTTGGGTAGATGGGCAGGTTTGGGGGAACAGGTGGGTTTGGGGAGTGGGCAGGTTTGGGGGACGGGGCGTTTGGGAAGACGTGCGGGTTCGGGAGGGGGGGAGTGGACGGGTTTGGGGAGACAGGCCGTGCACCCAGGCCGCACACTGAAGGCGGTGCCCGTGTGGAACCCCCGCTGTGTCGGCCTGGAGCCCGGTCCCGCCATCCTGCCCAGGCGTCCCCGCTGCCGTTGGGGTCACTGCAAAAGGGCCCGAGCAGGAGGGCCGTGACGCGTGGGCTGCAGGGGAGGAGGGGGGAGGACTGCATCTGGCCGGTGTCTGACATGAGTCATTTTCTTGCAGCGCCAGATGACGGAACCAGATCCGGTCCTCACCCAACGCAGCCTGGATGCCACCGATTGCCTCTTCAGTGTTACAGTCTCTGAGAGCCTTCGTTACCTTCACTCCATCAGTGTTTTTTTTTTTTTTTTTTTTTTTTTTTTGGGGGGGGGGTGCTTTATTTGGGTTGGGAGCTGTGTTGGGGTCCATTGGCAGGTGGCGGTGGCGGCGGGGCCCGGCTCGGCCGCAGTAGCAGATTTGCGTTGGGCACCAGTCCGGCCTCCTGCAGCGTAGACTGTGGACGGGAACGCACTGAAGATCTCAAAGGCGTTTGGGTCCTTGCCCCTGGCCTCCGCTAGCAGGGCTCTCACACCCCCGATGGTGTCCTCTGGCTGCATCATTGGCAGGAAGGCCTGTTCTCAGACTTGATGCGCAGCATGGAGAGCTGGGGCACAGGCGACTCAGGGTACTCCTGGCTCCTCTCACGCTCAGCAGCCAAGGCAGGCGTCTCCACCACGATCTCCTGGACCGGAAGAGGCCACAGGCAGCAGTTCTGCAGGGCATCCCGGATGGGGCCCCGGATGTCAATCACCTCGCCTTGACGGATCACAAGTTTGGGGAGCCTGCTCAGAAACTTCTCAGGGGTCATCCTGGAAGCTGTGTGCTCCGTGAGCAGGGCCTTTCGAACCTTCTGCATGCCTGTCACTTGGTCCTCTCCTGGGAATGGGTCCAGCCCATCCTCTGGGTAAACCTGATTGTGCAGGTCACTCACCTTAAAGGGGACACCATCAGGGTACAGGCGCTGGAGCTCTGCAGGAAAGGAGCCGTCCAATGTGTCTCCGAGGCAGCCCTGTGTGGAGGGATCATGGAATGGCCGGAAGGGCCCATCAAATACCATTATGCCATTCCGGTACAGCTTCAGTGGGATGGGCTCAAGACCATGGGCCGGTGCTCCTCTGGGCATTGGCTCCACCTGGGAGTCACCGTCTTCCACCAGCTCACTGAGATTCTTCAGGCTGGCCAGCAGCCTGTCATAGTCCACTTCATGGGGCACCAATGAGTCCCCTGCCTTCCAGAACTTCTCGGCTATCATCCACTCCTCATCCTCCGAGCTGCTCGAGTCCTCATGCTCCCTGGGCTCTCCCGCCCACTGCAGACCGTAGTCCCCAAGGAAGTGCTCCACCTCCCAGACCTGCCGCCGCCGCCGCTGCGCCCACGCCATCTCCAGCTCCTCCTGCCGCTGCAGGGACATCTTGCCCTTCTGCTCCTCGAGGATCGTCACCAACTGCTCAAGGGACTGTATTCTCTCATCCTTGGACAGCATCTGGTCAGCCTGGGTCTTCACCCGCTCCTCCAGGTCCTGCACCTTCCTTGCCATGGTCAGCAGCTCCCCATTGAGGGACCCGGCAGCTTGCCTACCCACAGGAGCTCCTATGCCATCATAGCAGGAAGGGATGGAGAAGTTTCCTCCGAGCCTTGTCCACCACTCGGCACGTTCACTGAATCTTCATTTCTGTAGAGCTTTACCCCTCACCTCCCTGAATTCACATTCTCTGCCAGCAGGGGCACTTTTCGGGTCTTGCCAAGAGAGGACAAAGGTGTGCTCAAAATTCTTCTAGATTTCAGTTGTCAGGAACTCCCGGGCAGGGCCGAGGAGCCGTCCCGCGGTGCTGCCATCTTGTTTTCACGCTGTTTCCCAGGCCTCCATCAGTGTTTTGACGCTTTGCTTTTTAAGAAAAAACGAACAAAAGCGGTTCCTCTTCCCCCAATACGGAGTGACCGCTGGTCATCTCACTGTCCCTCTTGGCACACTGTAAATAAATGTAAATATGGACAGAAAGAGCCAGGCGGCCTGGCTCTCTCTCCTAAGTTAAAAAAATAAAGTGGCCGCGACCACGGGAGATGAAGGCCTTTTGCGCGGTGGAGGGAAGAGAACTCATTGCAGGGCCACGGGAGAGCGAAGGCGGAGAGGGACAGACCTTCCACTCGTGGACTCCATGGCCGTGGACAGGAGCCATGCTTGCAGGGGCCAATCCCCAAAAATGCCATTGTTCACTAAGTCCAAACAATGGTGGTCAAATCCTAACAACTGATCAACAATGCGAACTTTGATAAGAAGTTCTCCATAATCAGTTCTCAACAATTACTTGTTACTATTAAAGTTTAACATTATAGCCGAAACCGGTTTGGCTCAGTGGATAGAGCGTCGGCCTGCGGACTGAAGGGTCTCGGGTTCGATTCTGGTCAAGGACATGTACCTTGGTTGCGGGCACATCCCCAGTAGGAGGTGTACAAGAGGCAATTGATCAATGACTCTCATCGAAGTTTCCAACTATCTCTCTCCCTTCCTCTCTGTAAAAAAATCAATAAAATATATTTAAAAAAAAAAAGTTTAACATTATAAAATTAACAAAAATAATATAAAACTCATACCCTGCCTAAATAGCCACATGGCCACCGAAAACTGTATATTCCCTTCCCGTTCTCCTGCCGTTCCCTAGCTTGTCGTGCATTCTTTCCAAAAATCGGGACTTTTTTAAAACGCCGCGGGACACAGGACAAATTGTTAAAAGCGGGGCGTCTGGTCACCTTACGTTATACAGAAGGAAAACACAGAAGTGCAGCAGCACGGTTGAGATTGCTCTGCTAGTAAGTGGTAGGACCGGGATCTGGGCCCCAGGCCTCGCCGGGGCTTCCCAGCTGGGCCTGAGAAAGGCTTACACAGCAAGTGGGGCAGACACTAACTTTAGCTGGGCTGAGGGGACCCCCCCCACACCCATCAAGCTAAATCAAGGCAGGGCTGGGCTTTCTGAGGAACTGGTGCGGTCACAGGGGCCTTCCCGGAGAGGGTTGAGCCCTGTAAGACAGCTGGGGGCCCTGAGCTGCGGCCGGGGGGCAGGGGAGCTGATGGGCGCAGCCAGACACGCCCTGGAAGCCAGCACCCAGGGGAAGGGGTGACTCACCACCCCTCCGCCCTGGCGATTGCATCACATGTGGTGAGCGTGCAGCAGCGCGCTGCAGGAAGTGCACCTCGAAGGAGCTGCTGGCTCAGCCCCCGCTGGGCCCTCGCCGGCCCCTGGGAGACAGATTGTTGGGGACCGGAGACTGCGGGCTGGAGGAGCCCCACCCGTCAGCCGGTGCTGAGACAGGATGTGCATCAGGGCAGCTCGGGGGGCCCCACTGTGAGACCTCTGGGGGAAGGTCATGAAAGCCAGGAAGCACCCTGAGCCCCCTCCCAGCTGCAGAGGAAGGGGAATAGCACTGCCCACACCTCAACGTGGTGCCGTCACTGTGCCTGCCCGTGGCCAGAGGGAAGCCCGGGTCCCGGGTGTCAGACGGAAGCCGGTGCCTGGCAGCCGGGAGAAGGAAGGCCTATTCTTGCACGAATTTCATGCATCGGGCCTCTAAAATTCCTAAAATTCTTCTCCACCTTGTGGCTCATAGAAATATGTTATGTCAGTGTCACCTGGCTTTCCACCCTCTCATGGAATGCAATGCCGGTCTGCCTGCCTGCCTGCCCACGGCAGCCAACTGCATGGCGTAGTAGCTGCTGGCTGTCTGATCACAGAAAGATTCCTAGGGATGGTGAGCCCCGTCTGTGAGCTGGGAGAAATGATGCCCATCTCACTGGGTTAAAGGAGAGGAGGCATGTGCCATGCTTGGCATAGAGTCTGCTCCTGTGTGACAGCAACTATTGTTACGCAGTTATTCTGCATGTGTGACATGACCGTAAAGCTTCTACAGGGGCCAGGAAGGCAGTGTAATGGGCACCGGGGCAGGCACCAGGAGAGATAGGGAATGGTGGGGACTGTGGCAAACTGGAAAGTCCTCGCCAGTCCAAAGGGGGCAGCAGCGCCTCAGCTTCGGCCACTGCTGCTGGGTGAGAATTCAGAGCAAGCATGGCCTGACTTTTTCAGGAATGCTGGGAATCCTAATTTGTCATTTCAATTCAAGTAGAAACCCACAAACAGTAGCAACAACCAAAAGCCAGCAGCATTGTGAGGCTCACTCAGCAGGTCCTGGAGCAAAGCTGGGCGCAAGGAAGCTACCACAGAGCCCCGAGGAGGCCCCCTGCTCTGAGGAGTTGGGCTGCCCCGCAGGGAAGACCCGAGAGGCAGAGGCAGGTGCAGAGGGGGCACTCCCACCGGAATCGGCAGCTGCCGGAACACGCATACACCAGCCTCCCTCGGCCAGGAGTCTGAGGGGGACAGCGCTCATTCGGTTGCATTGTCCCGGGACCTTGACTCAAACACAGCCCCGGCCTGGGCACTCCCAGCCAGGACGGGAGGCCTGGACCTGAGGGCTGGGTGGGAGGTTCTGGAGCTCTTCTTCTTTTTTTTTTCTTTTTTTTTTTTAAAACATATTTTTATTGATTTTTTACACAGAGGAAGAGAGAGGGATAGAGAGTTAGAAACATCGATGAGAATCATTGATCAGCTGCCTCTTGCACACCCCCCACCGGAGATGTGCCCGAAACCAAAGTACATGCTCTTGACTGGAATCGAACCTGGGGACCTTTCAGTCCACAGGCTGACGCTCTATCCACTGAGCCAAACCGGTTTCGGCTGGAGCTCTTTGTAGGGACGGCGATACCACCGATGTCCACTGGGCGTCGCTCTCATCTAAACGATGGCCTTGGGGTCCCCTATTCCACCAGCAAGGCAGGTCCGGGACCCAGTGGGCTGCAAGGCCAGGCCAGGCCTCCCTCGGAGGATTGCTACAGCTCAGATGGTCTTCCCAGGGGCAGACTCCCTGTTAAATGTGCATAGAAGCCAAACCTGGACTTAAAGGGCAGCTCTCCTGCCTGCCAGCCAGCCTGCCATCTTTCCAGAAAGTCCTTGGAGATCCTCTCCGCACCCCAGGGTTCTGCGAACCTCAGGGACTCCCAGACTCTGCTGCCGAGGGACCTCCGCCACCTTCCCCGATGGGCCACACACGGGAATATCCCAGGCCTCGGGGACTCCCCTTTCGGGCGCAGCTTCATGGGGTCGAACGTTCCCGCTTAGAGGTCAGAGGTCTGGGCTTGGGCTCTGGGCCTGCTGCTCTCTAGCAGTGTGGACCTGGGCCAGCCTTCACCTTCCTGGGCCTCCCAGTTCTCTTTCCAGACGTCTGTGTGGATGGGCCTCACGAAAGAGGATCAGAGAAGATTCTACCAGAAGATGAGCCCACAGCCCAGTGAAAGGGCTTTCGTTTCTCAAAACGTTTCTGGAGGGAGGCTTTACTCCAACTGAGAGTGTGACATGTTCGCTCTACTTTCATCCGGACCTGGAGTCATGGGACAGCCCGGGACTGGCGCCCCTGGTGGACTGAGAGGGTTCTGCAGGCCAGGGATGACAGAGGAGAGAAAGCAAGTCTCCACCCCAAGAAGCTCAGCGGCTGGGGTGGGCACCGGTAAGGCTCACCAGCCACCGGAGGGCGCGGGAGGGTCTGTGGGCCCTCGCCTTGCCTTCTCCTGCGTGGTGGGTCATGAGGTCACTGGGGGAACTTGGATGTTGTAGACTCTCAGGCGGCTCCTTCGGAGATGCCAGGTCAGGTGGCCCAGGTAGGGCCTCAGAATCTTCTGGGGGAAACTGACAAGCTGCTGGGGAACCCCCTCCCAGGCTCCTCAGCCACCTGACCCCCCACCCTTCGGTACCTCATTGTCTCAGAGCGTCTCTCCCAGGTGGAGCTATTGGTCTGTGAAACCACAAAGTGACCTGAAATATCCCCAGAACATAACCCATACTCATGCAGATACTTTTTTAAATGCATTTTTATTGATTTCAGAGTTGGAGAGAGAGAGAGAGAGAGAGAGATCAGTGATGAGAGAGAATCATTGATCGGCTGCCTCCTGCACACCCCCCAGTGGGGACTGAGCCCGCAACCTGGGCATGTGCCCTGAGTGGGAATCGAACCGTGTTGATACTCAACCACTGAGCCACGCCAGCTGGGCTGGAGCAGCTATCTTTATGTGCACCACAAACTTCACTGAGGAAGACCCTGTACAGGTGGAAGCGAGTATGGGGTGAGGCATGCTGAATAGGGGGACCCCAGACTTCATGCCAGAATCCGAAGACAAGCAGACGTGCCCCAACAGAAAGAGAAGAGAGGTGAGGGGACGATGGACGGTAATGTTCTCTCCATTACCGAGAAGAAAAACATCTCAACACACCAGACCAAAAGCCACCAATTGAAAATATTTAAAAAATAGTAATTTCTATTGATTTCAGAGAGGAAAGGAGAGGGAGTGGGAGAGATAGGAACATCAACGATGAGAGGAAATCCTTGATCGGCTGCCTCCTGCATGCCTCACACTGGGGCTTGAGCCCACAGCCAGGGCTTGTGCCCTGAGCGGGAATTGAACTTTGACCTCTTGGTTCAGAGGTCGGTGCTCACCGCCAGCCGGACTGAAAAGATTCCTGAGTCAGGTCTTCCCTGGAAGCTGAGGAGCTGGCCCAGCAGCTTTAATTTCACAAATGGGCTCTGTCCCTATCGCCGGCTCCTTCTTAACCTTTGATCTTTCCCAGGAGGCAGCCAGGCCTGACACCCCTCTCCCCCCGCCCCCCCCCCCCTCCGCCCTTCACAGCGGCTGCTCAGCCTCGGCTGTTGCTGCGGCCCCGGTGTCTGGGCGTGGCCTTCCTGCTCAGGGAGAGTGTTTTTAGGAAATGGCCAAGCGTCCCCTGGGGGCTGCCTGGCTGCCTGGCTGCCAGGCGTGGGCTCTTGGCGCGGCCTTGAGGGGCGAGGACTGGTGGGTTTGCCTCCAAAACGGCCAGCTCAGGTGCCCCCCCTGGGGCAGCATGAGGTCCGAGTGCAAGTTCTGCCCTCGCCAGCAAAAGGGAGAGAGAGAGAGAGAGAAACATCGATGAGAGAGAATCTCTGGTGGGCTGCCTCTTGCACGCCCCCTACTGGGGATCGAGCCTGCAACATGGGCCGGGCCGCAGGGAGGTCTTTTGTCCCGTGGTTGCATCAGGCAGGGAACAGGGCGAAGTGAGGAAGAGCCTCAGCATTCACTCTCCAAACCCTCATTTCCGGGGAGCAGGGGGCCTCACGGTCAGAGGCAGCGTCACAGGGTTCCGGCTCCGGCTCCGGGCAGGCGCTGGGCTGGGGCAGCTCGTAAGCTCTGCCTGGTCCGGGGCCTTCTCCCAGCTGTGG